AGATGGGAATGCGGGAGGAGTTTTTTGGTGATTCGAAAGATCCTCCCGGAAAGTTCGGAGGCAAAATTAAAGGAATGGGAAGAGAAACGTCTTCCTCTGATTGTGATGATCTGGATCTTGAATCTTCTGAAGTCCAGCAGTCGCATACAAACAATGCCTTTCAGTCCAATCGAATAAGTAAGCTATTTACCCCTTTAATGATTGAATTTCGTTTCTCAAATGCCATTGTTTTCTAAAAATCATTTATCCCTAGCCTATAGCCCCCTTCAGCGCGATATTCAATGTTTTGGTTGGGATGACAGAAGTAAATCTCGTCACTATTAACTGTTTTATTGTGTTGTTCATTTCATCTTAGTTCTTCCGCTTCAAGCAGTTGTTGCATTTTATGGTTTTCCTGATATCATTTGTGAAGTGGATTGGCTGTGGTAAATGCGTTGTGTACTGACTTAATTAGATTGCGTCCCGTGAGCCAGTACTACACCATTCTTACCAGTGAAGGAATTTTAACTTGTGCGGCAATTGCCACTTGTACTGGCACCTAGGAAGAGGTCTACTGCATGTTTAGCTTCTTACTTCACTGTTGAGGATCACAAATATTTCGAATTTCCGTAACATATGTAATGTTCGTTTAGTGCAACTCGATGAAGAGTTGTAGTGTTAAGTTCCCTTTGAATTTTCTTCTCATTCACCAATGAGTCAACTTTTGGGTGGAGGTCGGATGCGAAGATGGATGCATGCATCCACTTCTATCCACAGATTGTTAATGATGACGCTTAACCTGACAATTTGACGATCTAAGAAATATGATTTGTTAGGATTTGCTTGCAACTCTGTATATGATTCCCAATGTTTATGCAAAGAATCTGGATTATGGTTTGTCTCATCTCCTGAGTTACTCCAACGAGCGAATAGTTTCCTAGTTAGCAATGCGAAATGTACGTCTCGATTAAGGGCCCATGGTGGTTATATTGTTTTGCAGTTGTTGCTACCTATGTTGTATACCGCCCTCTGTCGTATCATTCTTCGCAATCGCACCTGCTACACATATATTCACTTGTTCTCTTTCTATTCAAAGATGTTGTGGAGGCCGAGCTTGAGGAGCTAACCCAGCTCTCAAAGAAACAGTTCGACTTTGATGGGAAAGGTGTTAGTGGAGAAGATGGAGCCTATTGGCGCAGTAGGAAGAACAACATTGAAAATTTGATCAACTTTGGGCCCATTTACCGATGTCTGCACATCCATAGTGTCTCAGGAGAGAGGTCAGAGTTTGAACACTACTATTTCACTCAGCGGCGGAAACAATGTCAACTCATTCTTAGTCTTTCACCATCTCAACAGGTTTGTTTTTCGCCTTGCTTTTAGCTGGTGAATTTTCTTTGCTTTCGCGCGAAAACTTACCGCTAGCTAAACCATTTTTGTGCTGTTTCTACAGTGTATATACATATATATATAATGCAATGTAATGTATGTATTTGTCTTGGTGAGGTTTCCAATTCCTTCGAAAAACTTACAGACTTATTGATGCAGAGAGTAGTCCAGCGCTTCCTTCATTGATATGGCGGATTTCAGATATATGTCACTATTGTGGGTCTGAAGAGGGATTCAGAAGAACAGAAAGGTGATTTTTTGTAGTGTAGGAAGGCTTACCCTGGCACCACTGTTTCACCTATTGTTTGTAGCCTTGTTAAATTAGTCTTTCACATCCGTCTGCCTTATATCCTTTATTTCGAAGGTTACCAGAATTTTTTCTTTGTGTTTCGGTTCATGGTCTATTCGCATATTGCTATTCATTCCAATTCGTGTTATTTTTCCCCTACTGGCATCATTCTTATACGCCATAATGACACAAGTTTCCAATTCACTCCTTCATTTTTAAAAATTGGATGTTATTAATAAGGATTGTTCACGTTGATTTCGTCCTGAGGCTTCCCTTGTGAATGTAATTTTCGCTTTCTAATTAAATAACTCTTCAATGTATTTTAAAACTACTTGCAAATTCTTGCATGTCGCTCACCTCTTCATTTGCGATAGTCCGTCCTCATAGTTTCTGCGGCAGATTTCCTTGATTTGCTCGACTTCTGTGTTATTTTTAGGACAATAAAACATCTTGGATAAAACGGTAGGATGTCATGAGCCATATTACCAAGCCCTAATTGTTAAACACAGTAATAACGATATCACGTGCGACGCATTGACTTAGTCTAGGAACTGGGAATATCATACACAAATGACGGGGATGCTGGCAGAATGGTGGCTAGGATCCCACTTAAAACGCATGTACATAATTACATGGTACCTATCTCTAGGGCAGCGTACATCCCGTATTGCTTTTTAGTCAAGCTTGCGAAACTACGGTGAGTTCTTCAGCCGAGTGGTGGGTTTTTTCCTGGTGGACGACTATCTGCGTCACACTATGCCAGGTGCTGCAGCAAGCGGAGGAAGCGGTGCAGCTGCAGCGGCCTCCTACTACCAATCCTATCTGGCAGATTTGTGGGGCGCACTGGTGCCACGGCTGACCAAAATTATAGCTCGCAATGCATCGAGCTGCACCACCACTGGAGAGTTGTTAAGTCTTAAGCACCATTGTGTGCTTTTTGAGAGGACTATGGCCAACCTCGGATTCCATACAGCTGGACTGAATGAGATGGTGGAGTCGGTGAGGAGACAGTTTAGTCACCTACTCATTGATCAGTGGAGAAATCGGTAAGGCTTAAGTCAAGCACGAGGAAGGTTTGAAACTGGTCAGGGGTTCATGCGTTCATTTCATTATGACGGGCGGATATATAAACTTAATCAACGTGAAACACTAGTTACGTCTAGGACAGATACAGCTCCCTGTAATGTCTTTACATATTTTGGACGGAACAAATAACGATTTTCCAAGTCTGCAAATGGAGGAAGGCCAATTCATGGCCAACGCTAGTACAGCTAGTTTTCACAAAGAACTGCATAGATGAATTGTGGTAGCTCTGTAGAAGTGGATCTGCGCAGAATCTCATCAATAATGGAAGGGCGAGATGGTCGAAGAAATCATATTCGAATTAACCAAAGGCGAATTTTGTTCTATAGATTTGAAGGGATTTTTAAGAACGACAACTACACTGCCATTCGGCTCGAGTCTGCTTCCGATCTAACACCCGAACTGATTGCCTACCCTTACTGCCGATCGGTGGAATTCACTACACAGCCCTATCCTCGCTCATTGGTCTTCTCACCCATGGTGCCGCAAATCTACGCTGCGGTTGGTGACTACATCGACGCATCTGCTCAATTCATCGCTGCGCCCTCCGCCGATATGGCATGGACGGAGTTGGAGGACTCTTTGAATCGTGCTACCAATATTCTTTTCACCGACTGTCTTGCTGCTCTTCTTAATAGCACTCTAGAAGCAGCGGAGACAAATCTGTTGCGGCTCATTCAACTGACGATCAATTTGTCGGAGTTAGAGGGTGCGTGTGAGCATCTGCAGACGTACCTGCATGAGCATGCACGACCCAAGTTCTTGTCACCAGCATCGGCAACGACGGCAACAATTGAAGATCAGGGTGATGAGGTAGTATGATAGGGGACCTCCATTTCCACTCTTAATACAAATACAGCAATCGTGTTGTCCCTCAGTGGCTTATAGGATTTTTTGCTTCGTAAGAAACCTTATTATCAAAGTGTTAAGGGAGTGGAAGTTCGTTATTCGGCGTAGAGCTGACTCAAATATCATTGTCCTGCACATTTCTACTCTGTTCATGTGCGTCATCGCAAGGACTTCTCATATTTATTTTTGAGTTTTGAGGCGCCCCAAAGCCACTAGTCAGTCAGTTGATCAATCTTTAGAAATTTTCCTCTATTTTAACGGGTATGTTGGTCAAGCAGTATCGTGGACTTAACTCTCTTTATGTTACTAGGCGGCAATTTTGCTTTCTATTCTGGTGAATCTCTCTGTAAGGTATTTTTATTGAACCTTGCTCCTCTTCAATAATTGCCTCTTCGATGTTTCTTTTTTCCT